CACATAGACAAACAACCACACGCACTCCAGACTATGGCATACGTGTTAGCAAACAGCTGCTTATTTACATGTCGAGAAGCAGACACTGAGCTGCATTATCATTCATTTGGAGTCGTGTTAAGTCTGTTTTTAGCTCTGTTTTGTTCTTTGGCAACTTTTGAGGAAAATATGCATCTGGCTTTTCAGCTGCTAAGTGCTCTACCAGGTTTACAGGCTTGTCACTGAGTTTGTTTGGCTTGGTGCTGGGTAGGTAGTGTAAAGTGTGTGTTATTAGAGTTTGCTGCACTACTGTGAAAATGAACCAAACCAGTAGAGTCATAAACCAAAGCAATGAGCTGACAGATACTGAAACACACCACAGAGCTGAGAGGAACTGTATAGTTAGGTTATATCTGTGGGTTTTGTCACTACCACTAACTTCATTTGATCTATTGTTAATATGAATTATAAAGAATATTTATACTTTCTTCCTCTTGATTTAGGCTATTTGCTTTCATCTCTTAGGACTTTCCTCCTGACTTAATTTGTCACTGCCCAGTTTCCTTTAAATTGTTATGCAACTTTCCATTTTGTCCCCTGCAAATGCCTCTCAGAGTCCAGGGGAAACTGCCAAAGAACTGCAAATGAGCGATTACTAACATGGGTAAACACAGAGGCAGATGTTTGAATCGAGAACAAAGACGCATAAATTAACACAAACAGTGATGTCAGACAGAGCGAGAAAGGCCCAGACTGTGCATGTGAAAGAATTACAGAGAGATTTGTGATATGTGGCTGTCAATGGGATTTTTTTTTAACCTGGTGGTGGTGGGGGCACAGGGGTGGCTTTGGTCACCATGGAAACTGACATTCCCTTGAAGGTGCTTGGCAGCCCCCACCAACTGTTGAGCTTGGGTAATGGTTCGAAATTCACTGTAAAGTGCCTGAGAGGTTGAGATTAACTTCAGCCTCCTTGGAGTAGATTCATGCAGAGACTAATCACACCGCTGTAGAGAGATGGAGAGAAAGAGCTTTATGGCATTCAGACAAGGAAATAATACGCTGTTGCTCACATGTCAAATGTTACTTTTAGTTTCTTTGTCCTTGGCTGCCAGTCACTTCATAAATCTCACATTTCATTCATTAAAAAGTCATCAATAGTCACTGGTGCTCACATTCCTGGTGGGAGAAGCGTATCCAGCCATTGTTACAGAATTCAATTTGATTCAGTCCTGCACTGCTGTTCAAATCAGTTATACATTTGCATCATTTCTATTCACAGGCATTTCTTTATGACAGGTGGAGTATATTAAGCATTAAAATAACAGCATGTGCAGGACTTATTTTTCCTCTATTTCTGCATGACCTCCCTCTTTCCCATGAGGCTTTGCTCCTGCTGGCAGACCTATCTGAATGAGAGTGGCCAGGCGCCGCTGCTTAACAACTGATGAAATGATTGCTCCTCTGCATCTCCATGTGCAGAGCATTTGAGCTGTATGTGGTAGGTAGTGTGAAGGCCTGCTGTTGATGGGCCTGGCAACGTCAGCAGCTGAAAAAGATCAGCCAGGCAAAGTGTCAGCAGCATCACACCTCTGCCAGCTCATGCAGAAGATGTGGAAGATTATTACCTGTTTTTTTTTTTTTTTTTTTTGTTTTTTGATTTTTTAAAACCCTCTAGTGGATTAACTATACAACTTTTTTTTCTCTCGCCTGTTACTGTTAAATTTGATCTTGTCACACTTAAAGTGAGTGTAATAGGATTCTCCATGGAGCAAGTGCAGGGCTATATGTTTCCAAGATTTTAAGCACTTAACTCTCTGCCAAAAAGATAACTTGCATTTCACAGTAATGCTTAGACATTACATGCATCAAAGGACAAATACACAGGGGTGTTTATAGAAGGGTTAAATGAGATTTGATCCTGTAACTGAATATATATTTGATTCTTCTTCTTCTTTTTTGTTTTTTTTTTTATGCATAAAACCAGACGTGAACTGCCATGTGAGGCATCAGCCTGTGGTGTGTTTGTGTGTCAGTAGCAGATTGTGTATTTGTATGCTGCAGAAGCTCTTGTTGTTTCCGGGGCTGCTGTAGCCTGGGTGGTCAGTCTCTGTTCAACCTGAAAGAACCAAAGGTTTTCAGCAAAGGACAGATAGTAACTGCCAGTGTTCATTCTTTTCATAATACTGTGAATGGAACTACAGAGCAGGACAATGAAACAGTGTTCTGCATGAAAAGAAAAGCAACTGTTTGAAATGGAAAGAAAAAACTAGGCCATTTACATTTACTGTTCTTACTAATCAAAAGGTATGTTCACAGTCTTCAAAAAATAATGTTATTGATGAAAACTTTAATTCAGACATTCATGACTAAATTAGTTTTTTTTCCCAGGAGAAGCCATGTCCAGTGGTTTAATGCAGGCAAAAAGCTTTTATCACTGATGATAACAATCACAGCACTTTCAGTGAAGGTAAAGAAACACTCATTGCAGCTTAGCAAACAATCACTGATTGCATTCAGTGCTGGACCATCGCACTGAGAAGATCCTGTTATCAGGCAACAGATGTGGTGGGCATCTGGTAACACATGTATAAACCAACTAGATGACAGACTACTGGTTTTAGACTGGAAACCAGTAATAATAATAATAATCACCTTTATTTGGCCAAGTATGTTACACACAAGGAATTTGTTTACGGTACAGAATCGAGGCAGCCATCTGCGGTTCCAACTCGCACTGATGGCAAGTTGGGGTTTCAGTGTCTTGCCCAAGGACACTTCAACTGCAGGCACCGAGATTCAAACCTCTGACCCTCCTGTTGTGTGACAACTGCTCTTTCCACTGCCCCACAGGTGCCCTTCTGGTTTCCACCCCTGAAGTCAGTGGGTTTTTAGAATGGGTTTTTGGTTAGATGCCCGAAATAAGGCACTATGGTTAACACAAAGCCAATACATTTTCACGTTTTGTTGTATGACATGAAATTAGTTCAGGTTGGTGGGGAGTTCCTGCCTCAAGT